TTTTTTTTTTTTTGAGGGGGGAAAATCATCCAATGACTTCTCCCGCCCGGGTGAGGCGGGAGGGAGTGTCAGACTCTTACTGACTAAAAACCACCCCGTTCCTACTCCTGCACTTCGAGCCGGAGCCCCGGCAACCCGTTAAGTCTTCCGCGGCTCCGTCTCGGCATCAGCCCTGTTAGGCCCTATCTGTGGTGGTTTGATGGCTCCTTGAGGCGCGCGCGGAACGCGACGCGCCGTACGCTCGAGCCTGGTTCTGGTCGAAAAACCTTAGAGCTTAGAGAGGGGGGGGGGACGATCTCCGAGTCGAGCGAGTCACCCATGCTCGCCGTCCGCAGGCCCGTGCTTACGGTGGCCGGATATCGTCCCCCCCCTCCCTAAGCTCTAAGGTTTTTTTAACACAACATAATAACTGTTTTGGTTACCTTAGAACACCTGTAAGGATAAAAGCCACCTTGATCATTTTGAGCAATGGATCCGAGAATGGAGCTCATGTTGATGACAGCCGCACGGTGGACTCCCATAGGATTCCCATTATTAGCTTCCGCAGCTTGTTTCAGAATGGGCAGTAAAGACTGAAAATACAAGATTATATTTTAAGTGTCTACATACTACATCTCTTCCATTTATTTAATGGTGATTGAATGACAGACAGACAACGCACATTTGAAACTAGGTAGTATGATTTGTGGAAAAAATCACGAACCTTTGTGAGCATAATTGGAGCAATGGTATTGACGGTTAAATTGTCCAATAATTGTTCAGTTTTCACATATGGCAGTTTGGTGAATTTTGTCGTAACACCAGCATTGTTTATCAACAGGTTGAGCCCATTTTCGCCAACTATTTGACTTATTTGTGAGGACACTTCGTCGAAACTAGATGTGTTCTTAACATCTAAAAATTAAAATTATGAATAAATTGTGCAATGTTTATACCGTAGACAGATTCTGTCTCCGGAGCGGCGGAAGACCAAGCTAATTACCGGGACTTCGGCTCGAAGCAGGAGTAGGAACCGTGGGAACCCGATGCCAAGAAGTCATTGGCTGATTTACTCCCTCAAAAAAGAGACAGCGTATCTACGATTTGAACAATGTTTGCGAATAAAAATATACTTTATTTTGTACAAATACATAAGTAATAATGTATCTAGGCACAGGAATACCAAGACTTCAAAAAACCTAACATGGGCGTTCCCAATGACTTTCAGGAGTTGGAGGTACTTGAATTTGTGTTAGCGAGATGTAGATAAGCATACCCACTGACAAAAGAACGACTCTTTAAAAATGTTGTGCTCTACTCCGGCTGACGAGACGTGGACACTGAACGTAGTCTTTTACCGAAGTTTTTGTGCCTTTGTGATATATTTTTTGAGAAAATTAAAATAACGACGAACTAAATTTACCCAAAAATACCGCAAAAAGCTTTACATAGAGAGGAGTGGAAGGAGGGTAGGGAGGCCTTTGCCCTGCAGTGGGACGATCATGGCTGAAAATAAATAAATAAATAAATAAATTTACCCAAATTCAAAATCACCAGCTTTTTGTTTTCAGCAGACAGGGTTTTCAGTTCCTGAAAACAGATAAATAATTATTCGATTATTAATAAAAAGGAATTCAAATCTTTTTACAAGTTAGTAATTTTTTAACACAACAGGAGGTCTACTCCGGTTCTCGAATGCGAAGTTTCGTTTGATTTGCGGCGGCAAACAACGTTTTCGGAACCATAGACAACTTTCGTGAACTACAATGAACGAATGAAGTGAAGATAAATAAATGGGCAATAAGTAGGTTTAGATTCGAAATTAAATATAAAATTTTATTTTAAGTAATTACATTACTAAAATCATAATGCCATGGCTTAACACACATAATCATCAAGAAAATCATGAATAATCTTTTAATATTAACGTTTAAGATGGAAAATCTTAAGCAGGATAAGAACCTCCTTTAAAAAATTTATTATACGACCTAGTTAAAAAGTTTTAGAATGTTTTTTTTTTGTCATTTATTGACATTTATGTATAAAATAATGACAACCAAATTGACTTTCGTTGGTAGTGGTGAAGGTTACGCACGTGTTTTTATCGGGCATACTATATCAATTTTAGTGATCTAATTTGAAATCTTTATTTATTGTGCTGTTAAATTGTGTGTGTATTAGTTTTAATAAGGTATTGTATTTTTAACACTTGTTTCCTCTTCCCACCTTTGTAACTTTTCCCTTTTTTATTGAATACTATGGACGAGGAGAAGCCTCCTGACCCTCCCGACAAATCTCCAGAGTACAATCCCATTTTATGCGTCACGCTCCCCCATGACAACCAAGATCATGAATCAATGGATTCAGAAAACAATAATAACAGGAAAAGACCTGCTGGCTCTCCCATTATATCCCGTATTAATCCTCCGAAGTTAGCGAAAAGTATTAACGGTAGGCAGTGCTATACGGCTAGAGACAACCCTCCCTACGTTGTCCATGTTTCTCTTAAAGACTCCCAGACGAGTGGCACTACTCTCCACCCAATCAAATTCGGGATGTTCTTGTCAAAGAATAACATAAACAATATTAAAAATGGAGGAGTAAAGCGACTCGGTAGAAATAGAGTGTCGGTTGAGTTTGTGTCTCACCAGGATGCGAATAGCTTCCTTATTAACTGCGTGGTAGCACAAAATTATACTACTTCAATCCCTCAATTCAACATTACTAGAATGGGCATTGTGAGGGATGTTCCCATTGAATGGTCAGAGGAGGAAATTATTAGGAACATTAAGGTTCCCGCTGGGTGTGGGATTGCAATTAAAGC